CTGAGGGTGACTTTGCTGGCTTTCCTATGAAAGCTTTACTGCCAAACTTAGCTAGTTTTTTTTTAATCTTCAAAAGCTTATCACCATTAAGTCAAGTATTGATATTTCATGCTCCTCTATATTTCTCAATTAATCTTCTATATGTAACATTATCAACTGAGTATTACTGAACTTTTTTTCAGTAGTTTTATCACTAAATAGCCCTAAATTGTTTTCAAGTAATTCTGTTCACTGAGAAACTGACACAGATTGTGAGTGAAGTCAGCATACATTGAGTAACTGATGGTAAATTTTTCTCCCTTCATATTTGCTTGGAACTAAAAGTCTTAAATACCCAATGTCTTCATGCTTGTTATAATGTAAAACATTGTTACAAATGTTTATTATTGAAGTCTTTTAGTGCTATGCCATAAGCATGATCATAAAATCTTATTTTACACAAAGATACATGGCAGAATGCATACATTTGTTGTTAGTTAGGAAGAACATGATTTTTTTTTCTAGAGGAAAGCTGCTGAACAAAATTATTTTCTCGGGCTGGGAAGATGGTTCAGTGGAATAAGCGCTTCCATGGCAAGCACAAGGGCCTGAGTTCAATCCCCGGTTCTGCCAAAAAGTAAATAAATAAATAAAAATAAAATTCTGCTTGCCTAGCTATGTTTTAAATGTCAGTTGTTGGATGTCATATTCATGGAAGTCAGCTGTTTATCTATTTCTTTAGAAACTAGATTATGAGCAAAGACTTCAGAGTACTTTGGCTTGTATCTTAATCTTTGATTGTGTTACATAATCATTGTCTCTAACTGTGCTTTAACACTATGTTTTTCTTTTGTGTAGAGGCAAACTGACAGGGATATGACAAAATAAATGATGGTATTAATATAGGCAATATAGTATTCATGATCAATCCATGTTTTATGCTGGATCTAAGTTCTAGAGCATTGTACCACAATATAGAGAAGTTAAAATTCATTGTAATGATTGTATAACTTCACACTTTGAGTCTCAAAAATACACTTACTTCTTGATTATGTTTGATAGGCAACTAGATGCCAAACTTTATTTTTTTATTCTTTTCTAATCTGCACGATATTGTGGAGTGGACATATTTTTGTTCAAAGGATTTGCTCTTTCAATGAGTTTCCATTTACTTATTTCTTTTTTACTTTAGGGATGGCTCTACAGGGTATTCAGGATCTCACTACTAGATCAAACTCGTAGTGATCCACCTGTTTACAGTCTCTCAAGAGCTGAGATTACAGGTGTGCACTACCACACCCAGTCTCAATTGCTGTCTCAGGGTTCCCCTGGGGCGGGGCCAGCAAGGCAGGCCCAGGGATCAAACTTCCTGGTCCCTGAGCCTGCTTGCAGGCACTTTAATTCACTGAGCTATTTGGCCGGTCCTAGTTACTTCTTATTTATTTGTTTTCCCACTTTTGCTATATATGTCCTTAAATATTTCTTTCTATAATTTGGTGCATAATAAATATAACTAACATAAAACTTAAAAAATCAATTTTTATCCTTAAATTTGAAGTGCTTCTATCTGATAAATGTCTAATAATCACCTTGTGAATAACTAAAATTTTGAGCATAAAAGTTTGCAGCTGAGACATTCATATGTTTTCTTATCCAAATAAATATAATGTTCTTGAATCAACATAGTGGAGAGAGACTCAGTAGAAATAAATGAAATAGTTTAAAAAATAAATTGCCTATATACATTCCAATTTTTTTCAGTCATAATTACTTGAGAATGATGGACAAATACATTTAAAATAGAGCATTTCCAATGATTCCTCAATTTACTTTTTAAAAATTTGACGCTTATATTTTGAGATAGCAGATGTTATTTACAATGGGACTCAAGTTCCCTAGCCACCTTGAAAACACATGGATTGAACTGAGGAATTAAGGAGCCAGTAACTGGATACATGTCCAGAATACTTAAGCCTTCTCTATAACAAAGGAAGTCTACATATGCATTCAGCATATCATGTAGTTATATTTTAATAATTTTAGGGTGAAACTAATGAAAAAATACCACCTTAAGTATATTACTCAATGACTTTATGGAAATATTAGAAATAATTCATTTTAGGGTATTTTAAAGGTTTTTAGAGCCTGCTTGTTCACTGCAACAGAACTTTTCAAATTCCTTTTATGTCTGGCTATGCCCTTCTATGTAACATTATGATGATTCCACATTACACTTACAGAGACACTGCTCTGGTATATGCTAGGCTGTATATTCTTAAAATACATATGGTGAATTCCTAATTACCAGCACGTTAAAGTGTGACCATATTTGGAGATAGAAATTTTAAGAAAGAATTGTGTTAAAAGGAGGTCAAGATGATACCTAATCTCACATGACTCATGTCCCTTAAGAGGAGAAATTCTGGGCACAAACATGTGCAGATAGAATACCATGGGGAAAATCTAATGTTCAATGTGCAAGAAAAAGAGAGAGTTCTTAGAAGAAACTATCTCGTTGATGTTTTAAACTTGGGCTTCCATCCTCCAGAAATGTGAGAAAATAAAATTTCTGTTGTTTAGAACACTAATCTGCAGTGGCTTGCTGTGGCAGGCCTCCGATCTGATATACTCAATTTGAAAGGAGCAATGATAGATTTGACCCATAAGAATAAGAAAACTAAAAATTAAGACTGAATGCTTTTCAGGATTCCCTTAATTTTACTGTCATATGTGTCATATGTATTTTACTATATATAATTATTTAATAGATCATAAATATCTTAGAATCTTTTGTTTTTTTCGGGGTATGTATGATAAGATCTGTCCTTACTATGTCATGCATGTTACAAAAAGAAAGGTCACAGAGGCCTTTTTTCTGTATTTTTAATGATGTCAAAGGAGGATCTGACACTGTTCAGTCCAAGATAATTGTTCCCCAAATGCATTCTCTCTACTCATTCGGGTACAGTTTGTTTTCAGGATACAAAGCCACTCCACAACAGCCCATATTTTGTCATCCTCTCTGATGGACAGATAGGGTTATGTGAGATCTTGCAAATGGAATAAAAGCAGAAATACTGCACAGAGTTTTTATAGTGCATCTTTAAAAGAGAACTGGTTGTTCTCCACATTATTAACCCTATTATGCTGAGCTACAAGAAAGGTGTGTCAGTGGTGAGCAAGCTTGACTTGGGTAATACAAATATAGAGATGAACGCAAAATGATCAACTGAAAATGAGCCAACTTGGAATGATTTTATGTAATCTATTTCCCTTACCCTGAACTACTACCAACCTTACATAAGTTTGGAATATATATATATATATATCGTCTTTGGGCTGCTATTTTTTTTTTCTTTTGCCTTATTTCTTATACCAGTTCAGCCTGTACCTAAGCATAAAATTTTTATTGTTCTTTTAATCTAAACAATCAATAGAGTTGTGATGAATGTTTCATTGATAAGGAAAATGAACTAAAGGCTTATTTAACTTGTTCCCTCTATAGGCTCCTTACTATTATAATTTCATATATTATTTGTTACTGAAATAATTAATATTTGTAATTAAACATCTTATCTCTAACATTTATTCTCAGTGGAACAAATGTGAATTTCATTTACTACTATTTATTAGAAAAAATTATGTAACAAATTTCCACTAATACTGATTATTTAAAACTGCATGAAACTAGATTCTTGTTTTGACCACCTTATATGGTTCTAAATTTTATATAATGTACTTACAATTTTGTCAACTTTAGATAATATAGCTATACTGAATTGAAAATAAAGCACAATTTATTTTTATTTTTATTTTTTGCAGAACCGGGGAATGAACTCAGGCCCTTGCACTTGCCAGGGAAGCGCTTGTTCCACTGCATGGTCTCCCTGGCCCCAAGCACAGATTTCTTAAACAGCCAGTTAACATAGGTAAATATACATGAATTCAAGAATTCAAGAGTGGATGTATAATACTATGATACTTTAAACCTAAATGGTCCAATGCATGATACAGTTTGAGATGGAAACATATTATTCACATCAGTTATTTTTTGTATCACTTTTAATTAATCTAGTAGTGAACGAACTATAAAAAATGATTAAATTCTGAGTGTTCTGACCTCAGATTCTAGGAAGCAATAAATGTTTGATTGGCTGACTATCAAAGAAAGGACAGGAATTTACCAGCTGAGGGTGAGAGGAGACCTCATGCCTTCTGTGAGACAAAACAAACCTTGAGATATATTTTGACCTTGGCAAATATTTTGATCTTTCAAGCCCTATCCAGATCAACTTTGCATAGTCACTATGCCTTTGCCTTTTCTGTAATTAGGGGTCCATCTGGGTAGCCTATTCTCAGGCAAGTGAGGAGAACATAGATCCTTATCTATACATGGCAATCTATGATTTATTTCCTTCCTTCCATCCTTCTTTCCTGTCTGTCTGTCTGTCTCTCTGGAACTCAGGAATGTTGTAACACCAAGCTATATTGCAAGCCTAATATAATGTTTCTCTTGCTAAATTACCTAGATTAGGATCAGACCTGTGATCCTTCTGTCTAAGCCACTCATAGTGCTGGTATATAGGCATGTACCACCACACCTAACTCATATATTTTGTTTTCTTTTTCTGTTATTCTCTTTACATTTCTTTGACTTTCACCAAAAAAAGCTTTAATTAAAAAGTTAGAGGGAAGTTAGGAAAGGACTCCAGCTTAGGTAGCTGGAGGGGGCAATTTAGATGCAGGTGTTCAGACAGGCCCCCTGATGTATTTATTTCTTAAGAACTAATCCCAGGTAAGCTTTGAAGAGAGCTCTGAGAAAGATTACTATTGGTTTGTATCATGATCTTGAAATACAGCACGTGAAATTACATTGCAGATTAATTTTTAGAAGCGTGAAAATGAAGCAAGATAATGTTTATAGTTCTATTATTGTTGTACAGTAAAAGTTCCTTATTAAAACATGTAAGTTCTGTGTTTTCGTGTATGCCAAAAATAACCTCCAATAATAAAAGCTTTACCTTTCCCCAGGCAACTTCAGAGTCCAAATTACTCGGCATTCCTTCAACTGCTGACCTCTTTGTCAATTCCATATCTGTAGCTGCCAGCCATTCTGTCACGACATTCATTTCCTTTCTCATCTTACGGGACAATTTTAAGCATTTCTCCAGTTGTTGCTTTCTTTCTGTTACCTGAAAAGAATGTAATAAAATGTAATTTGATTTAGTTTTTCATTCATGCTTATGCATAGGTACCTAATAGGAATTTTCATATTACTGCCTTTAAAAAGTACATGTTTACATGTTTTATTATAACATTTTCAAACCATAAGACATTTAAAGACACACTGAGGGTCCTGTTTGAAATTTATCTGGTTTTCGCCAAGTTGACTGTTAAAATTATAGTAAATAAAAACAATCTAAATCCCATGAGATCATAGTCTAAAATATGATGTCCTGAATCTCCCATCATATAATAAAAAAGTTATATGAATTCCTAATTTAAATAAAATATAATTTAAAGGGCCAGCCAGATAGCTCAGTGGACTAATGTTCCTGCTTAGGTAGAGCACAGCAGCTGGGTTCGATCCCTGATGTGCCATGCTGGCTCTGCCCCCTGGGTGCCCTAAAGCATTGATTGAGACTGGGCATGATGGTGTGCACTTGTAATCCCAGCGCTTGGGGAGCTGAGACTCGCTACAAGTCGGATCTACATAATGAGACCCTGTAGACCCTTACTAAATACAAATATATATAATTTAAGGCCAAAGTTCGTAATAAATATAATGATGAAAAATAAGTGAACATATGTCCCACTTAGTATAGAAAACCTAGGTTCAAAAGATAAGCACAAAGTTTTGTAATTTTCTCCATAAAAAGGAAGCTTGCTCTTGTTTGTAAGTTATCACAATGGACAAAAATATTATTTTGCTAGAGTCACGCATACTTGTGAATGACAGTTAGAATGATCAATTATATTGTCAATTTTTTTGGCATGGGGGCTCAAACTCGGGACATTGCATTTGCCAGGCAGGTGCTTATGCTGCTGAGCCACCTCCTCAGCCCTATTATTATACTTTTGTTATGCTACTGAGCTGGATCTCTGACCCTCAGTGTGTCTTTAAATGTCTTAATTTGATACAAAAAGAAAGCCAACCATAAGCCATTTCATCCTTCACTGTAATTTCAATCACATAAGGGCAAAAAAATAAATGCAAATCCAAAATTCTCGTTCTGTTTAATAAAGAAAAGCAAAACTTGTTCCTAGTTTGCTTCCCATTTCCATGTGGCCAAAGTTCAAAACAAGACCATCACAAGCAAATTATTCCATAACCTCTCATAGAGAATGAATGCATTTGTAAGTCTACACCACTTTTCCAGATATGCGTATATTTTGTTACGTTATTCATTGTTTGGTTTAATAAACATGGCAGCTTCTCTGCCAACATAACAGTCAACTTGGCGAAAACCAGATAAATTTCAAACAGGAAAGGCAAGTAGTCCTTGCCTCACATCTATGTAAATTACTCTGCCATGGGCCTTTCAGCTCCTCAAATAAAGAAATGTCTCAGTCCATTTGGTAGGTTGCATAAAGCAATAAATGGAAGAAACACCCACCAATCATTGCCTGAAACGTTATAAAATATAACCAGTAGAAAATGAAGAATTTATACTGTCTTCAGTTGTTTCCTGTTTTGTTTTTTATGTGCCTTTGAGTATATGAAAAAAACCCCAAACTTGTTGCTCTGTCATGAAAGCTGTGGATGTGAGCCTGAACTGTGAATATCGGACGCTGCAAAGGCAACATGGTGGAGTGTAAGCATGCCGGGCTCTGCAATGCCCAGTACAAGTGCAACTTGCCCAGAATCCCCAGCAAGATAGTTCATTTTCCTTAGTTTACATATCTGAAATAGAATCATTTTATTTAGCACATAGAGCTATTGTTAGGGTAAAGGTACACAACAATTTGAGAAAGCTTTCCATCTTACAAGACTTTAAGCCCCTTCTTTTATTTCCATTGTGTCCTTCCAGGGAGGCGCCATAGTAACTGTACCTGAAGATAGATGGCAAAAGTTTTATTGCCACTTATTTTATTACACTATTGGTAAAGAGAAATGTTTAAAATACTTGGATATTTTGCTAAGAAATATGAGAAATTTGGTTCAAATTAATCTTAATTGTAAGGGAATTGGTTAAAACAGTAACAATTGCATGTCTTTTATGTGCCTCTTATCCTGTGAATAGTAAAGAGTGCTAAGCATCAACACACGAACATATAGACATGCACATGTAGAAACACAACACAGGCAAAAGGAGAATCTGTCATAACCGTAAGAGGACAGAAAAGCCCTTGACATAAATTTAGAGTACTGACCAGAATTCATTTTTAGAGAAATGAATTTTAAGAGAAATGTGTATATATTTAGGAAACTGTTTAGTTGTAGAGACTGGTAATCCAGTTTGGCTAACAGATTTTTCCCTTCTATTTTTCTTTTAAGGAAAGCAAGTGTATCTGCCCTTTTGACTGTAAGAATTTTATGCATATGTGAGAGAAAAAAGAAACACACCTTATTGTGTGTTTCTCTGCGTAGTTATTTTTTCTCTTTATTGTTAGTAGAAAAGGATCCTGCATTCAATATTTCAAGGAAATTCTATCTTCCCAGAGCTAATGCATTATTGATTTTATTGATTTTATTTTGTTTATATCCATTTTACCAGGGTTTTTAAAAAATAGGAGACACTGCCACCTTAAGGAATATTGAGTTTTACAATTTGTGTGTGGAAGGGAAATACACATTTAAAAGAGTGCCACCAACAGTAAACTGTTTCAGTGGTCATCGCTTCATGAACACTTACAATTGTGTTTTGGGTAACATGAGTATTCCTATACATGTACATGTCCATAAAAGCCAAAGCACTGATAAGCCACAAAAGGAATTATAGGTATTATTCCATGGGTGATAAGTATGATATATGTCAGTAAAGTTACCTATATTATGATATAGAAAACTATTCCATTTTTATTTATTGAACAATTAGGGTAAGTGGTTGATACTTAAAATAAGAAAATCCTATAGTGTAAGAAAAGTGTTGTGGAACAAATTATGTCTAAAGCCCAACACAACTATTATGAGTCACATAGCTGGTCTTCAGAAAATAATTAAAATTCAATGAGGGAAGGAGGGTGAAACTCTACTAGGATTGAGACCTTATAACAAGAGGAATGAAAAGTATGACCACTTTTTTCCCATCAAGCAAAAACATTGTGAAAAGGCACCCAATTGCAAACAAGGAACACTTCTTAGGAACTGAAGAGGCTCACACTTTGGTCTTGAAATTTCACACTTAAAAAGTGTGAGAAATAAATGTCTATTTTATCTACCAGGTCTGTCCTGTTTTGCTATGGCAGCTGGAGCTAATACCACAGAGATGTAACAAGGTTAATGAAAGCAAAGGTAACAGCGGAAACTTTAAAGCTGATCAAAACAGAAATGTTACTTTTATAAACATTGATAAAATATCATGTATTGTCTTTGATTTTGTAAATTACAATGATGTTGAAGATACCTTGAAACTCGGTATCAGTCAATTATTTTTTCTCTGCTAAGGAATACATGACATACAGTATACACATTTATACATGATTCCTTAATCATTAATGTTTCTAAATTTATAATTTATTAAAAATAAATGTCTGCCCCAAAATTCTGCCTCATTCTTACATGTTATTAAAGCATGATTTCTTAGTATTTATTGGATTTTACTGCAATGGTATAACTAAGAATCAAATAGTTATAATAAACAAGCTCTCAAATATGTACTCAGAAGAATAAATAGGGACTTATATTTTTATGATAGTCACTCAATTCATAATAATAACCAACTAAGGGCACTAATAATATTCTAATGTCACTTTTATTATTTAAATTTTAAGTCATTTATTTTACATTATTTTATGTCAAATTACACTTGTAAAGGGAAATATTTTCTGGATAGCCTTTATGGAACAGAAAAGATGTATGGTTAAAAATGCCTGGCAGGGCTGGGCAGATGGCTCAGTGGATAAGTGTTTCCCTGGAAGCACAAGGGCCTGTGTTCAGTTCCCGGTTCTGAAAAAAAAAAAAAAGAAAAGAAAAGAAAAGAAAAGAAGAAAGAAAAAGAAATGCTTGTTAAGGAAGAGGTCCCCAGTCTGATTCCTGATATCCCCCAACTAAATGAAAAAGAGGGAAGGCCAGAAAGCTCAGCAGACTAAAGCACCAGTTTACACAGAGCACAGGGACAGGGGTTCGATCCCCAGCTTGCTATGCCAGCCAGCAACCAGGGTTCACTGAGGTGGTGATTGAGACTGAGTGTGATGGCACATGCCTGTAATCCCAGAGCTTGGGAGGCTGAAAACAGGAGAATCACTACAAGTCTGATCTAGTAGTTAGGACCTGTAGACCCTGAACTAATACTAAATACATTAAATACATTAAAAAGAAAAGAAAAAAGAAAGTTTAGTTTTATTCTTTCTTTCTTTCTTTCTTTCTTTCTTTCTTTCTTTCTTTCTTTCTTTCTTTCTTTCTTTTTTTGTATTTTAGGTAATGGTTTACAGGGTGTTCAGAGTCTCACTACTAGATTGGACTCATAGTGATCTGCCTGTTTACAGCCTGCCCAGTGCTGGGATTACAGGCGCAAACCACCACACTCAGTCTCAATTACCATTTTAGTGTGCCCAGGAGTGGGGCTGACATGGCAGGCCCAGGAATTGAACGCCAACCTCTGATGTTTTCTCATTTGATCCTCAGGACAAAAGCTTACGCATCGCTGATTTATACTTCTGCACTGAGCATCACAAAAGTATAACTGTCTTAAACTGATTCTTTCGAAGACACCATGGCATTTAAATACAGATTGATTGAGAAATTGCCATAAACACAAATAACACAGTGCTTAATTAAGTTTAAGGAAATAAG